TCTTGTATTTTCCTCCGAACAGTTCGACTCATGAAGGTTGTCCGGCAAGAAAATGAGCTCCAAATCTTCTATCGTCTACTCTATGTATCGCTAAGTCTAGCCGGTTTCCTCATGATTCTGATTATCTTACAAAACAGACTCTACTTTCCTAGAGTTGCATATGCAGGAAGTGCCAGTTTTGTGCTGTTTTTGTTGTTTTCTCAACTGATTGTTATCATCAAAGAAGAAATCAACGTCTGGAAGAGCAAAAGACAAGAGTCGAAAGATGCCATTCAATTGAAAGTTGTTTCTCAACTGCCAAATCCGCCACCAGTTGAAGAACTTCAGCCAACAATTGGCGATCAAGCTTCCTGGTGGAGCAACCCTTTCAAGCCACCAGAAAGAGGCGAGGATTACAATATATTGCAAGCGATTTTCAGCATAGATATGATAATTCTATTTACTGTCACAACATTTGGGGTTGGGGGTACATTGACAGCAATTGATAATCTTGGTCAAATTGGTAAGTCCTTAGGTTATCCAAGTAAAAGCATAACCACATTTGTGTCACTAGTAAGCATATGGAATTATCTTGGAAGAGTAGCCTCCGGTTTTGCCTCAGAAATTTTCTTGGAAAAGTACAAATTCCCACGTCCCCTGATGCTCACGTTAGTACTTCTCCTCTCTTGCACTGGTCATCTTCTTATCGCATTTGGAGTCCCAAATTCACTGTATTTATCCTCTGTGATAATGGGGTTCTGTTTTGGAGCCCAGTGGCCGCTGATTTTTGCAATCATATCAGAATTATTCGGGCTCAAATACTACTCTACATTGTACACTCTGGGTGGTGGGGCCAGCCCGCTTGGGGCTTATATTTTGAATGTTAGAATAACAGGTTATTTATATGACAAAGAGGCTATGAAGCAATTGGCAGCTAAAGGACTCGTTAGGAAAGAAGGGCAAGACTTGACATGCATCGGCGTGGAGTGTTACAAACTCGCTTTTCTAATAATCATGGCCGCCACACTGGTAGCATGTGTAATTTCAGTCATTTTGGTGCTTAGGACTAGAAAATTTTATGGGAGTGATATATACAAGAAGTTTAGAGAGCAAGCTAATCGACAAGAGTAGTATCATCGTTTTGCTTGTAAAATTATATAAATCGTAGTTTTATCTTGTCGAAAGGTTACCGTTTGTATGTGAGAACCGTAGCCATTTTTTATCTTTTAATTTGTTCCCTTTTATTTGTACTGCATAGATTCAGAATTATATTAATTAATCCAAATCATATCAATGTGAATCTTAAGCTTTGTTCGAGAAAATTGTCAATTTTTTTTATCAACTTGTAACGGTCAGATTTTAATTTGAAACGCAAATTTAATAGAATTCATAACCTTCATCATCATAGCTTCGTTAACTTTTATTCAAATCTCTTAAATTTTTTTTTATCAAAAACGTTGTCAAACAATCATTAATTAGAGTAGCAAAATAGGTCGATCACACTAGTCCCCATTTAGGCCCTGTTTGTTTCGAATTAAAAGTAGATTTTAATTTAAGTTAAAATCAAACAATTAATATTAATCCACGAAACTTGGTGAGAGAGAGCTGTTGATAATGTCATGGTTTTGGCTTTATCATGCCAACGACCTTTGTGGGGACATCAACAATTACTCTTCCAAGATCTTTTGTGCTGGCAGAATCTTTTTTTTTTGGCAATTTTCAATCACATGTTGTAAAACAAAAAAAACAAAAAAAAAATCTTGATTGAGGCGGTCGTACAAATCGCACAATTGCTTTCAAGAACTACTTGTCTACTTTTCAATTGCTTGATTATAGATGCTTGCATAATTTATTATTTTATTTAAGTTTAAGTCGCGCATACACATTTTTTACGAAGTGGGGACTAGATTTAATTATGATTTGATAAAAAATATGTGGTTAAAAAATAAAAATAAAAATAAAAAATTTGAATTTGCGTATAATATTATTTTATTGAAAATGAAAAAAAAAATATATTTTGAAAATAATGAAACCAAACACTGACATAATTGTGTTATGGACCAATTCGGTTTCATTCCCACAACAATAATTGAGCAAAAAGTGGGCACATCACAAGCAATTTTTTGAAAAAGGGGAGCCTAAAAAGGCCACTAGCATTAGCCCATAGAGGTTAAAATCAAATTTTTAATAAATTTTGATAAAAATTGATAAAATATGTGGTTAAAAAGTTGTAGGTTTCATGAAATATTTGACTTAAATTAATTATTGATTTTAATTTGAATTTTAATCAATAGCAAACAAAGGCTTATTCTATTCTTGCCTTTTATGTTTAAGGTGACAACAGTTTGAACGGTTAAACATAGTCGTCCCTGTTTGGTCGTCAATTTTTTTTTAAAATATTATTTTAAATAGTGATTTTTTAAAAGAAAATGTGGTTAAAAAATGGGATTTTTTTTTTTAATTTACGCATATCATATTTTATTGTTTGAAAATGAATATGTAGAAAAAAACAATTTTGAAAGTACGAAGGACAAACATGGGCATAATTGGTTTACAATATCGACAAAATCATACTAAAGTGCATTTAAAAAGTCAAAATTATCGTTCTCATGAGATCATATTATCAATTATTGATTTAAATTAATCCTACTATTTATTTGAACAAACGCAATTAACAGGAGAGTGATTTTTATTCTAATGTATATTCTAAAATTTAAGCTAATATACTAACTAGTCTTGAGATTAAAAGGATGAGAAAAAAAATGCTAAAAATAATTTTATCTTAATTTTCCTCCTTGAAATATCATACATAGTCATGAAATATAATTGTATTCAATCAAACTTCTCAAATTATATATTAAAAATCTCTACATAAGCGGGTTTACGAAGAAAAAGAGAAGAATTTGAAAAATAATATTGCACCAAGCTCGAATTCTCCTTTTTCAATAAGCCTCTGCTTGATATCCTTTATTTGTCAAAAACAAAGTTTTGAATAATAATTTTTAGAGAATGTTTGATTAAAAAGTAAGGAAAAGTTTTGGATTTAGAGAATGTTTGATTAAAATATTTTATTATATGAATGAGTGATTGAAAATAAGTAAAAATATTACACTTATCAGCGACAAAGTGGTTAAGCTTTCCGCATTTCTTTTATCAATAGAACAAAAATACTCCCAAAAGTTACATTAATCTCTCATTTTGTGTTGATTTGGACAAGAACGTTTGGATTGAATAATTTAATTATTTTATGTTTGTTTGAGAATTGAGCCGATAAATGAGGAAAATGTTGAGCATGTTTTGCTAAACTTTTCTATAATTTTTAATTTTAATTTCTTTCTTGATCCAATTGAGAATCTTGATATGGATTGAGAAAATGAAAAGATCTTAAATTAAAATAATATTTCTCAATACATTTTTTTTGTGACCTAGTTATCATAGAGTGATATTTTTATCATCACTATAAAATAAAGGGAAAATTGCAGTCACGGTACCAAATATTTCGCCTTTTTGTAGACTTTACCCAAATCTTTGATTTGTGCCACTCACGGTACCAAACATTTAAACAATTCGCACTTGAAATCCAAATTGACAGAAACCATTAGTTTGACCGTTAGTTGACCAATAATTAATATCTGACCAATTGTTGATCAATTTTTAAAGGGTAAATATGTAACTTTACATTTTCCATATGAAAAAAATTAAAATGAAAAGGAAAATAACATTTCTTCCTCAAGCTACTGTTCATCATCTTCCCCCCTCCCCCGGCGAAGATCTGTGTACGTTCAGTTTACTTCGATAGTGTAACCAGCCATGGCCGTTCGATTCGTTGCCGTCAAGCAGAAGTGGTGTGTGCCGTCGCAGACACCCAAAATTAATACCTTAACCTCTGAAACTAATGTAGTAGTAAAAGTAAGGTTCGATCTTACGAAGAGTATGCAATTCAATATTTTATACTTCGTACAATGATTTGAGGGTTTTGTATTCAAACAATTGTAAATAAATTAATCAATAACAATGAAAATTAAATTAACGAAAACAATCAAAAGACTAACCTTCGTCTAAGTCC